TGGAGCTTCTCTCCACATGGACCAACTTCATCCCTAACTACAAGTGTGATAGTAAAGATAATACTGTCGCAGTCATTGGGGGACCCAACTCAGATGTGAATTTCTTTATGGCAACCATTCTGAGCATTTACAAGGTTCCACAGGTAAGATGTGCAGACAGGGCTTCGTGCCTGGAACAAACTAGCAGTATGACCCTTCAGTCTTGATGTAGTCTGTATTTCTAATACAACATTGATAAACATTATACCTCAGTGGGTAATTTGGAATGGAATGTGTAAAAATAGTTGAATAGCACATAAAAAGTGATACCCTATGAATCACATCAGTAGAGCTCCATAATTCTGAAAGATAAGGATGAACCAGATCTTTAAGAACTGAAAGCTGGAATGAATCGCCAGGTCCTCTATTGGTAAGAAAATGAAACAAATGCCAGCGACTGCCTGCTGCCCTGTGAAGTCAGGATGGCATTTTTAAAATATTTCTACACAATGTGGAAGTTCTTAATATTCATTGCGGTATGTATTGGGCAGATACATTCTCTGAAGGTCCAAAATGTGCAGGGCAAATTTTGATAGTGGGAAGATGCAGAACTTCCCTACTGATAAAACTACAAACTCTGGCCAAAACTAGACACTGACACAGACATGCACAAACACACACACACACACACACACACAGCCACACCACATAGCTCACTAAAACCCATGTTTTAATGACATCATGAATTCATAACATCTTTTTTTAGCTGTTTGGAATAGTATTTAAACAGGAAGGAAAGTCGTAGAAACATAATTGGGAGATTGGATGGAAGATATTTCGGAGCAGCAACATCTGCCAGGAGTGGGTGAGTGGGTGTTTGTGTGTTTCAAAATAAGCACGGGGGACACAACCTCACCATTTGGATCTCTGCCTCTTTTGTACATGCGGCAATGTCACATGCTAAGTTTTATATTAAATTGTGATTTGTTTTCTTTTTTCTGTCTTTTTGTTGTTTGTTTTGGTAATTAATATGAGTACCAAATTAGATTATCTATTTGATCTTCTTAATGCGTTCTTCATAATTCTTGGTCTTAGTCTTTGTTGTAAGTGATTTTCTCTGTATTTTCTTAAACATTACAATCAGGGTTTTTTTTTTAAATGATGTGTCCAAAAGACTGGACCTTTCATCACAATGCCACACTTTCACTCTTGATCATTTTGAAACCCCCTCTGGAGACCCGTGTGTCTCAGAAAAGCTCTAAATCCATACCCAAGGACAATCATTACTGTGCCCAGTTTCAAATACCATAAATTTAGTAAAAGAAGACTAGCACCAGTCACAGATTAGTTTATTGTCACCCATATAGAATGCAGTACAATGAAATGTATGGATCAACCTATACTTTTTCAGTGATAATTTTTCTGATGCAAAAGCCATCAATAACATCCTATCCAAGCACAGAATCTCCTTGCAGCCATCAGGACTGTACAAACTTTTGAAAGCTATTTGGAAATTTCATTGGATTTTTCCACCAACGAGGACCCCATTCTGCTAGGTCATGCTACTAAAACCAGCAATCATCTTCCAAATTGAATGAATGAATGAATGAATGAATGAATGAATGAATGAATGAATGAATGAAT